ACAGAGGGGGGGACTATTTGACAGCTGCCATCTTCGGTACAGCCCTGGATAACCAAAATGAGCAATGCTACCTTGTACTAGTTCACAAATCACCATGTAGAACAATTTGGTGTAAAGTACAGAATCATGACATATGCCTTGCTCGGTCTGTTCCGTGTAGAAATATTGAGCAGGAACAATTCGGAACGACAGACAAATGAATTAAAATGCTGGTGTTTAATCAAAGGGAAAAGATCACATGAATGGCGCGCAGGCCCAGTAACGCACTGCATTGCACTGAATTGCTTTCTTTCTTTTTGACGATTCAGATCAACATTGTCTATCGTAAGGTGTCCGAATCCTGGAACAGTTTTAGACTTCAAGAAACAAAATGTATAAACTTTACAGCTCAGATGTGTCCTATTTCCTGGGCAATGGCCACGTGATCCAGGTGGTCGGTAAAGCAAACAAATACAAGTTTTATCGCAATAGCAACTACCGGGATCAAAACCTGATCCGATTTATTTGGAGGAAACGATTAGTTTCCGCAGTAAACAATGAGACTTTGAATAGCTGATAATCAACTAACGAAAACTGTTCAGATATCCCAGATACACGGTGATCGACGGCGAAAGGAGGTAAAAAGGATGCACGCAGCGCAGAGTGGAACGGGGAGATATGAACGATAAACATGGTCGGACACCTTGTTAAACTGGGCATCACATCTCAGTTTCCGAAAAAAGACAGGTTTGATTTCAGCGAACTTGGTTTTAACCCCTCCCCCCCCCTACGCCCCTTTGATCACGATTAAAACTGGTGCATCCCCCTTGCAAGGTGAATCCATCCTATTCCTCACTATCATCACCCACTGGTGCTCAATACCGGTCCACTTTCAGAGGGACGAGTGAGCCACAGAATTGTTGTAACCATGTGTCAAGTTCCAATTTGCAAAACATGAAAAGAATAAAGCAGGTGAGGCGGGAGCGGAACGAAAAGGTTTATTGCCGAACTATTTTTCAGCCACACACACATGAGGGGATTTACAGATAACTAGTTCCAACTGATACCCAAAACAGTCAAATAGAATGAAACAAAGTTCACCTGTTACCTTACACGTATTTACAAACACCAATGATGAAGCTAATGCGGCTGTGTAACATACAGATTCGGTCAGACTGTGTAGCATGCATATTTCATTATCCCACTGCCAATAACTAGTATTCGGAAACGGGCAGAGAATAAGAACGAAGAGAAGAAGAACTGAAAGCACCTCATTACAGACAGACCGGAAAAGAGAGCGATGCTTTCTCGTCGGACTATATCCCAAGTAGCATGGATTTGTGTGGATTAGTTCCGACTAACTAGCACGAAAGAAGAGTGGTTCTATCGGGTCCAGTCCAGGAAAACAGCTATCAGACAACGAACCCTGCGAAAAAAAGATACGTAGTTAAAACACAAGTTATATCGAATTACGCCAGAAATGCGTAAATCCACACACAACGAGATGTAATCAATACCATTGGCGAATAATGCGACTAGTTCAGTGTACTGAAAATCAGGTGCGAATGAAAAAGCGTTGGAAAACGAAAAGATGACTGTTCGCAGTGACAAATGTGTGCGAATTATTATCTCATTGGAATCGAACGGATCCTAAGGCGGAGATTTGCTTTCACAAAGACGGCTAAAAAGGACGTGTAGTGTGCATTGAAAATACGATCATTCTCTATTCGTTCAGATCTATGCTGTTTTGGTACAAAACAGCACATAGATTGGGATTTATTCGTCCTAT